CCCCCTCTCCCCTCCCCGCTCGATGACAGCGGCGAGCAGCGCCAGATTTCGTTGATGGAAAGGTCGTGATAAAAATATTAATTGCTAGTTACTAGTTTTTTCAGCAAGTAAAAACTACAGGACGCTTCGACAAAGTGCAACAGTTGAAATGCAGAAAACATTTTATTACACCATTGATTCAGTCATATCTCGTCCTACTAAATCGGTCCCTTGAGTGCTAAATCAATCTTGCCCAATGTTTTTGCACGCGTTCAAGACGTTGCGTTGGTGTCCACGATGGCTCAAAGAAATCTCTTTCAACACCCCTCGAGAGCCATTCTTTAGAGAACCTTCTAGTGAATTGTGTTTTCTTGAACAGACGGGTTGCTTCACGGATTAGATCACATGGACAAGGCAATAAAATATAGCCCTCGAGAAGAATAATCCCTTGAAATCTGTCTTTAAGAAGAATAATTTTGCCGAAGTTAGCTGATCCCTTTGCCATGAGTCACGTATTGATTCCTCTAGACAGGATTTCATTGCTGCTTTTTTGGCGCAGTTCGGCTTGGTGGGGGCACCGAATGGTACCTGGCTAACCTTTTACAGGTCACACCGTGAAGACCTGCAAATTCTTGCGACCAAGTGGCTCACTCAAACAATTTCGCAGATTCACCGGACAGGTTATAGGTCTGAGCAAGTTAAGACCCTTAGTTAACATGTACCAAAAAGGAACTATCGAAAGTGAAAATGTCCCCTCCAAGTCGAACAGTGCCCGTTTTATATGCCATTCGTAGTTTGTCCTTCAAAGCCCTTCATCGACCATTATGTGTCGGGTGAAACGGGTGACAAGGCCGGCCTGGACACCTACTTACGGAAACAGCTCTAGTTAAGAGGACTATGGACCATAACGAGACGGAGGTGGTGCAGTGACAAAAGCAGCGCTTACCACCCCCGCGGTCCTAGGGTTCAAATCTCGGATCGACCCGCCCAGGCCAAGCCTTCTACCTGGGTACGGTAAACTGGTACCACAGTTGTCTGGGAAGAACACTGCTTGTACATCGGCTGGCCCCCGCAAGTCATTGTATAGGCCACATCGCATTCAATAAGCCACTACGATTCTGAATGGAAGTAGAATGCGTGCCGCATCCCACAAAGGGATTGATCAACGGCGAAGACTACTTTTTACCCTTTTACCACGAAGAATTCTGCATAGTTCCTGGGGATCCAGTGTTTTACCTTTCCTTGTATTGAACCCTGCCCTGTCAAGTCTTAGCTTTTGTTTTCTGAAACTTTTAGTCCTGGGGTTATCGATAATGATGGAATGGAATATGAATGACTTGGATGGACTGCGCGGGTTCGAATCCACAGACCCCCCCCCCTTCCTCAAAAAGCTCCTCTGACACCAGCAGCGACAGGGGCCCACAAACGAATTGAGTGTGAGTGACCTGCGCAAATTCAAATCCACCGAAATCTTCCCCTCTAGACTCCTCGCCTTCCCTTCTTGAAGCTCCCACTAGGGTGCTAGCAGCGCAACCTTTGGATCGCTCACTCAAGGCCGGTGAAGGTCGGGAAAAAATTCTTTTCCTTCTCTTTTCACTCCCAGTTTCGCAGGTTTTCTGGTGGTTAGGGTAGCCTTAAA